GGGCAACTTGCCGGAAGTTCACTTTGAGCCTGAAGCTCTTGATCTAGTAGCCTCTGTGACAAGTGACAACAGCCCAGTAAGGAAGCAATTAAGAGAAATGCAAGGAAAACTCAGTGAAGGAAGCTGTAACAGAAATTTAATGAAAGTTCAAAGCATGGAAACCTCCTGTTAACTCTAACCATTCATAGAGGAGCAAATGCAGGAAAGTTTCTAACATGTACAACAACAACAACAACAACAACATCAAGTCTTTGTTCCACTATGTGGGGTCGGCTACATGAATCCTTTTTCGCATTAGAAATAGTATGAGATTAAAAAATACCAAACACATCTTAAATCTTAAAAGATGATGAATATGGTTAGAAATAGAAACACTAACTTGATCGAACCCTATCGCGGCAAAATCTGCTCCCACAAAGGCATTTAAAGGCTTTGATTGGATGTGAACGATCGTCAAAATCAATCCCGTAATCCTGCAAATCACTTGTAAGCAAAGAGCTCCCTCAAAAAACAACTGTATTGAGAATCTTTAGCACAGCATAGAAATACACAATAAAATCCCACAAATGAAGCATGTACAAAAAGTATGTTTGCATATCAATAAATGCATGCATGCCCACATAGCATGCTATGTACAAATTAGTGCAAATATGCAATGAAAAATCCTGTAAAATGAGCCATGTGCATCCACACATGTATAAGCTGATCAGCGAAGGCTTTGTTTGAGACGGATTTCTTAATGCTTCTTGAAACAGCTTTGCGGTATAAAAACTAATTTTTTTTAATTAGAAAGCTGCTTTAAGAAGCAGTAAGAAAACTGTCTCAAATGAAGTCTAAGTTGCAATAGCTGTGGGGAACGTACTCTATTAATAGACTAACTTGACAAAGTGGTTGGCCTAGAGTTGTACATTTCCAGCTAATGCTAAGTATTGCAGCAATGTTTCGGTTGAATGAATTGATGAGAAGATGATTTAGGAGGGGAAACGGGAGTGTATTATAGACTTGCACAAATATTTCTGCATAACTTCCAGCCACATTGCTGGTATTCAACAAGAGAAAATGGAGTTAATCAAGCAGACATCTAGCGGATGGGATAAAGCTAAAGATGATGCTCATGAGTTATGTTTCTGTATAAGATAAAATTGTCAGCTACAGTTCAAAATTAGAACAAATCACAACTCTCCCATGAACTGCCACAGGCCATGTTCAAATTGTTCTCTCTCAACCACTGCAAACAGAAATACTTCTTCTGGATTAGCTACTCAAGCTCACAGCCAAACGGATCTTCACCTCTGCGCTCAGCATCAGGCTAGTTTCACCAAAATTGCTGGAAAGTTGTGCATGTGCTCCATGTTGACAACTAATATTAACTATAATGAATTTAACAAAAATAAGATATCACTGTATATTCCAAAAATAAGAAAATTTTGGTCACATTATTACACTAAATGTTCCTTTAGCACAAACAAACTACTCCAACAACATCCTACACAAAGTAACACTAAAGAAGCTTCCACAAATTTATTGGCATGTGAATTCCTAGTATACCCACGACTTCAATTATCTCAATGCACCAACGATGTGAAAAGTCTGAAGTAGATATTTATTCTTACCGTGGACCTATAAACAGAGAAAATTCAAATGATAAAGAGTAATTGGGCAACCTTCAGCACGGGATTTGCCAAAACGACTAAACCAAAGCTGAAACCTCTCCTCTTTGGAGCACGAGCAAGGACATTTAAGAATCAAAATTTCTAGACCTACAAAATTATCATATTCATCACCATATCCAACAGACCGAGTATGCTTTAGGAATTTTTACATTCAATCTTGGTGTGCTTGCCTGAAGTGTAGCTTATAGTTTGTTTGATTCATTTTATACAGCTTCTGGCATACCTCTAAGTTCTATATCTATCCTTTTTATTTGTTTCTATGCTTATTCAACCAACCAACCTGATAAGACAGCCTGAAAGTCTAGCAGCCATCTTCCTGATGAAATGATTTGACAGTCTGAAAGTCTAGTTTAATCCCCTAATAAAAATTTCAATAAGCTAGCAATCCTTCAAGTAATATCTTTCTCTAGAACAAGAGTATACGAAAGAGCAAAAAGCATTAAGTAATACAACAATTAGAAAAAGATATCCGTTCCATTCCGTAACCAATCAGTGCCAATTGTCATGAAAAGGACAAAATAGAAGGCTTACAGAACGTTAGTAAAAGTAATATTCAGATTTTATACAGATAAGTAACAAAATACCACTATAACAGCATCAACAATTGAAGCTACTCACCCATGTTAGCTCTTCCAAAGCTTCTACTTTTCTCGTAGTAAAAAAGGCAAGCTGCATGTATTGATGGATGCAAAATAAATCAAGTTTAACTTCCATAAGGTTTTAAGCAGTATTATTTATGCAAAAATACTTCAAGTACCCATTGAAAGGAAAAGGCACATACATGATAATAATGGTGATCTGGAGTCTCCCACTCAACAGGAACCTCAACCAAATTAGCATCAAAGCATCTGCAATAAATAGAATATTTATTTCAGCATCAGGAGTTAAATGAACAGCTAATCCATCATATGTAATTAAGAAAAATCAAGTAAAAGCGAGAAAATGGCATAAATAAAGAAAGGGAAATTTAACTTAGATTTATTTTCCTCTCTATTTTTTCAAGGATCAAATTAGAAACCCTTTGTTTTCAATCCTTATGCAGGCATATGCTTTATGAAGGGATTTGAGAGAACTTTGATGTTTGATTGTAGAGAAGAAAAAGGGCAATCCAAGAAAACATCTCTTATAGTTGCTAATCACCCTTCCTAGCGGGAGAAAACATCTCTTATAGTTGCTAATCACCCTTCCTAGCGGGAGAAAAAAAGGATAGCACCTTCCAATTACTCGTGAAAATAACACCGAAGCAAAAGTACTAGTCCTCCCCTACATGTAACATCCATTTAAGCACAAGTACTAGACCTTGCCAGAATGAGATATCCATTAAAGTTAGAGATGGATGTTTCTTGCTATGTTATCAACTTTGATCTCATCTTGTCCTATCAAGATGCAAATCAAATACAAGTACAATATTTATAAAACCTAATGGTAGTCACAATAAGCATAAAACATGAAAAGGATGATAAATAAAAAAAACATGAAAAGGATGATATACTAGCAATAATTTCAATTTGTTGATAAAATATAAACGGGTTGCACTGAGTAAAAAAGGTAGCATGCTTTCTGATAAATCAGAATGACTTTTGTGACCTTGTCATGATCATACAGCCCTTTTTGATGGACCATGAGTTAAACACATTGCACATAATGGACCAAGATTTTCAAGAAGACTTGGAAGCCCTTGAACAAGGCAAACTAATTGCTTACCATCAAGGACATGTACTCCTCTACCATGGATATCTAATGCATGTATAGTGTTGACCTACTATAAAATAAAAAGCAAAAAATCTCACCTACCAAATCCACCTGCCAACCTCACCTCTCCCATCTTTCGCACATAACCCTCTACTTTTGCTCTCTCCGCTCTTTCAAAATTCCCAAAAAAAACCCTACTTCAAAGAAGCAAAGAAATTGCATAAGGAGCTCGTGGGAGATGTCAATGAGATATGAAGAAAGAAGCTAAGGTGTGGCACAACGTAGCTCGTTGGAGAAGGTATCATGTAGAGAGGAAGACATGTAGTGAGTTCGCTGAAGAAAGCATCCACACAACATGTAGTGTGCAAAGGGGTGGTCATGATTGAGAGCCTGCAGGAGGAGGCACAAAGGGACCAACAACATGAGAAGGAGATAGGGAGTTTGGGAGACTAGCATATTTAAGTTAAATATTGCTCGTATCCTACTATTGAACGCCTCTGATGATGACAACCTTGCCAAAAATTCCTCCAATGATCGTTGCAACCCTCTGCCTTCTTCTTCATAGCCACTTTCTCTATCTCGCTCTCTCTTTCTCTCACTTCTCTTTCTCTTTCTCTTTCGCTCTCTCTACTACTCTCCTCTCTTGCTCTCTCTCTACTTCTCTCTTTCTCTCTATTTCTCGAGCCCAATTTCTCCCTCTCCCTCTTGCATTCTCTCTCTAAAAAGAGAAAAAAAGCAAAAACAAAAAAAGAGAAATTTTTTTGTACATTTGCCTCATCAGTGCACCGCACATGCGCCCACATCACCTCAATGTCATTCTGCACTTGAGGCATAATGCAAAGCAAGCTCAACATCGGTTTAAGTGTTCGTAAGCATTTTTCTTATAAGGTGGGGACTGGGGAAAGCCTACTTTGTTTTCTTGCTTATCGTACACATAACTCATACATGAATTTCTTAGAGAGTAGGGAGAAGACTCTTCCGCATCTTTCTTGGCATAATGGGAAACAAGATTATGCTGCCAGAAATATAAGTGCTTGTACGAGTCTTTCTTGAAGTAGTAGGAAAATCATGTTTGCAAAACTTTCATGCACATACGAAGACTCATACGTGCCTTTCTTGCTATAGTCATTGAGTTTAAATTTCTCATTCACATTATTTCTTATGTGGTGTGCAAGCACAGACTCACTGAATATATCCCATATGCAAGGGAGACATTAGGAGAGTGCGGGAAAAAATGATAAAATAAATGAATGAACGAGTAAAAATTCCAAACTAAAAACTATAAAAATTCAAAAAAAAAAAGAAAAAAAGAAAAAAGAGTAGAAATGTGTGGCAGTAATTGAACACAAATGAAACTTACACGAGACTTGCAAGAAACTTGATGACTTCCCTACGGGCAGAACTAGAACTTTTCCATGCTCCGAAAACTCTTCTAAACACTTAGAACCCTTGAGAATGCACTCGATGGATTGAACACAAACTAAGATAGGCGTCAATTTACAAGAGGAAAAATGACTCCCAGTAGGGCCCACCCAAGTAGAATTCAAATCACATACAAATAAATCATCCCTTTGAAAGAACACAGAATTTCAATTTGTGATACTCCCAATCAAATCTGCAACATAGGCACTAGCAGACATAACACGAGCAAAATTTAAATCAAAATGAAAGTTGCGTGCACATCTCAAAGACAATGCATTCACTTAAATAATTGTCAGGTCAGACCCTTAAACATCTCAAACAATTAGAGAGCGAGTGTGTGTGATACAGATAAAGTGTAATAGAGAAAAAAAGAGAAATGACATAGACAGCAACTAGGGCGAAGATGTTGGAATTGATCGCCGGTGGGGTTGGGCAAGATGGGAGAAGTGATAGTGAGAGGGAGAGAGTGTTCACGTGTGTGTGATGAACAAAAGCAAGAGAGACTGAGATAGGTATATCAGGGGATTCGTTTTCTTCCCCTTTTTTATTTTATTTTTTTAAAGCCCGAGGTTAGGCTCAATAATGGAAGAAATGGGCACAATGGGAGACAAAATGGGGGGATTTGTTTAATTTTTTTAATTATTATAATAATAATAATAATAATAATAATAAGAATAAATATATATTACTTCTTGTCAGGTTTTTATTTGATTTTTTTAGCAAACTCTCTTCCTTGAGTTCCTTCACAAACGTCGAAGCTCCTTCGCCACCTCGCACGTTAATTTTTCATAATGATTTTCATCATGCGACAATCCATACAATATAAGTGTTAATCTTAATTGTTTCTGCTATCTCAAATAAATCAACGCAGTCCATTTCACGAACGAACGCTGTTCAAGCTATTTCAATTTTTGGTCGACACATTTCAGACAGTATTCAAGTAAAGTCAAGTCATTCGCCTACCTTTTTTAGTCATATTCAATTTGATTGACATCGGGCAATAATCTGATTGACATTGGGCAGTGATCGAGGTCAACAATAACATGCAAACAATCTAACCGACTAACCCATAATGAAAATTGCTCTGTCAAAACAAAACGTATCTTTTATCATATAAGATAGCCATATAAAGGAGGATGCTAGCTCCAATAAAAACAAAAAAGAAAAATAACTTATTTTAACCACAAAAATCTAAAAGTACATGCAAGCGTAAATAAACATTTTGGCTTTGGCATTTAAGGAACTTCAGTTATCCAAGACACCCCATGAAATACATATTTACATTCATTTAATTATACCAATAGCCAAAAACTGTGCAATGGAAAGACAAGTCTATCTCTAGAAAATACAATCTGATAGAAGGAGACAATTTAAAGCATGGTACCTATGATTCACAAATCTCCCAACATTTCCAAAGAAAGTAGCATCTAAGCAAAGCGCTTCTTCATCTCTCAATCCCGCTTCTGAACCCCAGTCAGCATCCAATATTACAGGGTAGGTGTGCCTTGCACCACCAGTCTTTTGAATAGTACGATCATAAAGTTCTATGTTTGTTAAAATCTCTCCAACATATTCACAGACAAATGCTCCGCTAGGCAATTCTTCAAGGGTTCGAAGGCCCCATCCTTTCACATCAGCTACAAAAAACACCTAAAGCACACAAAATAGGATTTTGAGTGCAAATAAAGGATATTACTTGTAATCTGATAGCAACAGAAATAAAAAAGCAGTGTTTCTTGCAAAGACATGTGAATATTAAAACATGCATATCATAACGAAAGAATATCTTAAAAACTATACACTAAAATGACCTGCAAATTCCGTGAAATGCCCCGTTGAACAACACGATTGCCGCATTGTTTGCTGCAACCACACTTGATCCAACATTCCTTAATAAATTTCCTAACAAGATGTCCCTTGCAGGCTTCAGGCGTATGCTCATTCTTAGACTTTTCTATAGGACAATCCTTACAGTAAATATGATGACGTTTATAAGGATCACGGTTCATAGAAATGCATTCATTCAAGAATTCAGCTTTGAGTAAACCATCCATGGTGTATGCAAATTCACCACCTGTTTCTCGGGTGCAGGCACATGGGATAGGCGCACTTAAACAATCACCAAAACAGTTCAAACAGCAGTCTTCATCATCAATTCGAGCAAGGGAAAAGTTGACATGTGCATTCTGATAAACAGCATTCCGAGCAATGTAATGAAAGTAAGCAGGGAACTTTTCGCTTGTGAACTCATTGATAAGCGAAATTCTTACTATCTCTTCACCTTTTGCTATGTCATTCTCATCAAGCAGGGGATGGGGAGCACTGACAGAATGATCTTTAGTGATCTCCTTTCGTACTTGAACTTTTAGACATTTTTCATCCTCATTGATTGGTGCATCTTGACTGTTTGCACCAGTTAAACCAGTTGAAGCATTTGCCCAAAGAAAATCACCCTTCTGTGCTGTGCCATGATTGGCTAAGCAATGCAATGACAATATAGATAAGAGTAAAATTAAGAGTTAATCAGCAAGACAGATTAAAAGCAAGCAAAACAGCTATGTAACTATCATATTAACATATCCCAACAAAATAAAAATAAAAAACATAAAAAATAACTGAAAAGGGTATTGAACTAACAATAAAACCCCATTTGAACCGGTTTGATGTAATTCACTCAGAATTCCAAAGAAATTATCACCAATAAAGTACGACCAGCGAGAAAGCAATCATAAAAGATTAGTTCAAACTCTTAATTTCACATCTAATACAGTATAAATTGACTAATCAAAATATGAACTGCCAAGGAAAAATCAATATAAACATTACCATAGAACATAAATTTTATTAGCAGAAAGCAAAGACACCCAGTGTATGTTGAAAAAAATAGTTAGCCAGACTGATAACAACCCTTTTGACTTAATTATATGGAACTGACTGAGCATTTTGTGGGCCCAAATTCAGCCTAAATGTAGGAAGAAGTGTCAAAGGGTCAAGGAAATGTGACAAGTTGAGCAGCAATAAGGAGAAGAAACTTGTTGAAACAAAGTATTCTCAGTCGTCATAATTAAAATTATATGTTGTGAAACAGCTCCTTGCTTAATGCATCATAAGCCGTCTACTCAATACCATTAACTTTTCTTCCCCCAAACTAAGTAATTTTATCCGGTCTTGGAAATAAACTAACTAAAATAAGAGCGATACATTTGGCAATTAAAAATCAGCAATCAACACAAATGGCCAGTCAACATAGTAAAGAAGCTGTTAATTATGAGACAGAAAAGAATAGTATGCTCTCAAGCTTGACAATGGCACTGCAAATTAATGATGCTGCATCAAGAAAGTGAGGATTTAGTCCTAACTCCTAACTAATACTTCTAAATTTTTTTTTTTGTTTTAAGTAATGTTCAACCTGAAAAACAAAATTCTAGAAAAAACCAACTGCAAAAGAAAAGGTTGGCACTTTTTATGCCACACATCAAAAACTTCATTTACGCAATAAAGTGGCTGAGGCAGCTGCAATTCTTCACCAATGCTAGATATGCAGGATTTACACAACCTATTTATGAACATCATTAGTAAAGGTTTGTAATCTGGGTATTATTTATGAAGCATCGAGCAGCTAAAGAAACTGATTGTCACATAACAAAATATACATTCACAGCCTTACAAGAAAAATAAATATTATATTTGATGAATTCAAGAAGTTTTAGCATGGTTATACCAGCAGTTCCTGAAGGAGTTCCTTGAGGTGATGGCAATGCAAGAGGCACATAATTATCAGAGATGTAGCAAGGAACCTCATCCACGGACATATCTGGATTAGAAGAAAAAGCAACAGCAACAATATCTCGAGGAAATTCAGTGTCGGGTTCCATCTTTGGCTCTTTATGACATATTAAATTTCCTGATGTGCCACAGGGTTGATGTTCATCTCTTTCTTGCATCACAAGCGAACTTGATTTTCCTTTTTCAAAATATGGTACATTTGGAGGATTACTGGAGCTCGTCATCCGAGGAACTACTTGGCCTGAAATAGGGCTAAGCTCTTGACAATTATGAGAATTTTGAGGTGCTTTCTCTCTAATTAGTTCATTTTCACGTATTGTATGAGACGATGAAGATGATCCTTCTCCGTCATGAGGGCATTGAGCCTCCACAGGCTTAATCATTTTACCTCTGAAATTTGTGGGATGGTCTTCAGGTGATCGATCAAGTTTCGGTCTCTGGGGTGAAGTTTCCCCAGAGGCTTCAACTTCTAATGGAAAATGGTCAGAATCCTCTGGCCTATGCCTTAACCTCTTCCGTGATACCTTACGTGCAACACTTGCAGAAGCATCTGTTTCATTCACCTCAGGGTCCTGGTTCACAAAGGACGTTATTCAAAGTCAAATCATTAAACATAAAAGCTCATCAAAATCATTCTTTCATAAGCCATCTTTCATCATCTGAGAATTCACTTAATTCATTTTTGCTGGCTTACGAAACACCGGTAAACTACTCTAGGTACCAAGCGACAGTAAGAAATAACAGATAGAACCAACACAGAAGTTACCACTGATTCCTGGTCATCGAGTATTGAATCCACCAGAAGCCTGTAGTTTTCTTCTTCAATATACTCCCAGTTGTTCTCATAAACTTTGAGCAGCTTCTTCAAGACTGCCTTCGCTTTGGCTTGATCAAACCCAATGAGCTTCATGGCTTCAACAGCCGCTTGTGCTCTTTGCACATGAGCGGAAGGAGCCATCCCAAACTGGATTTAATAATCCCTGAAACTGGCAAAAGCCCAGTTTAATCTGCCGTCTCAGAAAACCTGCATTGGCACTGCATTTGTCAACATAAATAAAGAGAGAGTCGCCCGAGGAAGCTCCAAAACTCAAGCAGGAATGATATGCATTGCAGGTAAAAATTAAAATACAATTTAAAAAAAAAAACTAGGATACAAGAAGCCAAGCAACCAAGAAAATGCCTAATTTGAAACCCAAAAAAAAAAAAACTCCTGCGATAGCAAAATACTTGACATAAGAGAAGGTGAGGCCAGCGACAGTCGCTGGAGCGATCAAAAGTTAGCGTAGTGTGGTTCAAGAGCGTCTCTTTCTCGATTTCTCATAGAAATACTGCACTTTGGCCCCGAGAATCTCGAGGGAAACGTCGGGAGTTGTAAATTCTCGCCCTAACCCCGGAGAGTGTGAGTTGGCTATAACATTTCTTGTTTTTATGAGTTTACAAGCGAAGAAGGCGCGCAATTAAAGGTTTAGCGCTCGTCCAAAGGACCACCGGTTTGCACGGATGAATCCCTCTCCTCTCTAGGATTTGTTGCTTCCCTCCATTGTCTTCTCAGCAGACGAAATTTGTCATCGTGGGGATTAACGAAAGCGCGCCATGGCTGAGAATTTGACTCTTTCCCGATTTCTCATAGAAATACTGCACTCCTCTCTAGGATTTGGTGCTTCCCTCCATTGTCTTCTCAGCTGACGAAATTTGTCATCGTGAGGATTAACGAAAGCGCGCCTAGGCTGAGAATTTGACTCTTTCCCCTGATTTCTCATATAAATACTGCACTTTGGCCCCGAGAATCTCGAGGGAAACGAGCAGATGCTGATTTGAAATTTGTATTGACATACACCAAGATGATATTGACTCTTCACATGACATCACATGCAACTATCTATTTGAAAATAGATATAGTTGGAAGTGGTGTCATCTATAGCTATATTGCTGTGTAAGTAATGCTAGATAGAGTACATAAATATGTACTCTATCTAGCATTACTTACACAGCAATATAGCTATAGATGACACCACTTCCGACTACAGCTATAGATGACACCACATGACATCACATGCAACTATCTATTTGGAAATAGATGTAGTGGGATAAAGGCTTTATGTTGTTGTTGAGGTAGAGAGGAAGAGAGAGAGTAAAAGAGGGAGAGAGATTTAATAGATAACAGTTGTTCATAAGATGAAATAGAGAAAATATAGTGGTTGAGAGGTAGAGAGAGATATTTTATTTGCTAATTAATTCATATATGTATGTATATGTATATATGTGTATATATAATGTATTTATGTAGAATTTAAGAGATATTTTATTATTAAATATTTATATTAATAAATTAAGTAACATATAAATAATTAATAAATATATCAATTTAGTAATTATTTAAAGTAACTTATTTAAATAAGTAGATAATATGAATCATAAGATAGGCAATTAAAAACATATTTTTTAAAATAGTATATTACATTAAAAATAAATATATAAATATATGTATTAATTTCTTTTTATGTTGAAGCAAAGGAAATTTAAATATAAAAAATTAATAATTTAAAAATATAATTTTTATGTATAAAAATATAATAAAGATTAAAAAATGATAGATTAATCTTGTGTAATATTAAGAATGAAATAGTAACATTTTTTAATTATTTTTTTATAAAAGTTAATAAAAATTAAGTATATTAGAGAGGTAGAGAGAGTAAGAGATAAGGAAGAAAGAGTTAAATAGGTGGAGAGGTAGAGAGAGATTAAGAGAGGGAGATAGAGTAAATGAGGGAGAGATAGTTGATAGATAACAAATTTTCATAAGATGAGATATAGAATAAGTATATTTTTATTGATCAAAATAAGTATTTTTAGGTGATTTACATATCTTTTCATTGATTATCAGAAATTATGTCACGACTCATATTATTTTTTGACGGGGACCTACAACTCGTCAAAGATTTCACACCAATATATATTGGTGGAAAAAATAGACCTCTACAGATTAATGACATTATAACCCTAGAATACCTTAAAGTTAGGATCCTTAGAGCATTACATCGTGATTACACCACACACACGGTGAATCTCGCATGTCGGATGCGAAATAATGGCGGTCACACTGCAGTTCAAATCACAGATGATGAGGTATGTACTTTCGTACTGACAGAAGGACGACGGAGGACCGTAATCGTGTATGTTGAGTTTGAAGAATTACACACGCTAGTGGTCCGACTTGATTCACCACCAAATATAATGTTCGATAACCCTCGCCACTCCACCTACATATCCAGGTTAAATTTGATGTTGATACTTTAGTGATGTTACACTAACTCATCACATATTTATAATCTAATTATAAATCCATGGTTAAAATTTGCTTGTATGCCCACACCCATAAATACCGAGCCTCCATCTTAACGTCGGTTGAGCATGAGCTCACAACCAACATTCGACCTCAACATACCAACATTTACATCAGACTCACCTTCGATGGTACATAATATAGGGGAGTGCAGTGCACCAGCTGAAGCGAAGCAGTACTACCTGATTATGAGATGATGTATAGCGGTTCAAGCAAAAACTCGAGCGGGGAGGCAGAAGCACCGCCTATGGAGGATGTGGAGGCAACAATACGTGCAGATCAGATTATTCAACATCATACTTCTCAAAATGTACAAAATCTCGATGATATGATTATAAATAATGAGTTTAAAGGAAAATTACATACTGCACAAGCGTGGGACGCATGTGATGCTATTGATGCTCCAATCAATAATCGTCAAGAATACTTCGATGCCGTCATTCCATATCAATTGTATGAGGGTATGACATTTGGTAGCAAGGAAACACTTCAATGTGCTATATCTGGGTGGTCAATAATTAAAAATGTAGAGTTCAAGAAATCAACCTCCAATAAGACACGCCTAACAGTAGTATCTATCCAACACAATAACCAAACTCATCCTTGTCTTTGGCATCTTCATACGACAAAGAGTAAACGCCTTGGAGGGGCATGGAAGATTTCAACCATAATCGGGCGACATACATGCACCAATCTGATATTGTCTACAAGTCACCAAAAATGTACTTCAAAGTTCATCTGCCAATTTATAATAAGAACCTTAAGACAATAGCTAGATTTAAAACCAAAAGAAATTATTACCCGAATCAGCTCAAAATTTGAAGTTCAAGTATCATATATGAAAGCTTGGGATGCAAAAAGAAAAGCAATAAGATTAGTATTTGGTAGTTACGAAGAATCATACACTTCAATATACCGGATGATGGAAGCAATACGTTTAGCAGTCCCTGGTTCTGTTTACAATATTCTAGTAACACAGGTAATGCGATTCAAGAGCATTTTTTGGTCTTTTGGACCTAGCATTGTGGGAAGGCAATATTATCGTCCAATTCTTTGTCTTAACGGTACTTTCCTATTATGAAAATATAGAGGAACATTGCTTGCTGCTGTAGGTGTGGATGGAAATGGTGATTTGTACCCACTCGCATTTGCAGTGGTTGAATCAGAATCAATATAATCATGGACATGGTTCTTGCAGATGCTGCATGATCTAATTGTAAGTACCCAATCCCGTCTTGATTTATGTATTATATCTGACAAACATGTCGGTTTGATACGCGGTTTTAGTGAGATTTTCTCCTGGGCTGCACATCGCCATTGTCTGAGTTATATGCGAGAAAATTTTAAGAAAGCTCTGCGATAACTTGCCGTCCCTGACTGCGATGCTGTTTGTGATAAAATGTATTGTGAATGAAATACATATGATATTAAAATCCATGAGAGGCACATGAAAGACATCCAAATTATAAAGAAAGAGGCTTTTGATTGGTTGATGGAGAGGGATCGTACAAAGTGGGGATTAACTTATGATGGTGGATTTTGGTATGACAACAAATGTCTCTGAATGCTTTAATGGCGTCCTACAAAGAGCCAGGGGATTACCAATATAAGGCCTAATCATGAGTATATATTACAATATTGTCTCATTATTTCTAAAGCAAGCAGCCAAGGTTGAACATTGGACTGCTTCAGATAGCTCAACATTTGTCCCACACACAAAGGCAGCCTTGAAATTGGCTGAACGATAGGCACGCAGAAGTCCACAACCTACCCAAATTAATAACCATGAGTTTGAGGTGTTTGACATGTCATGTAGGTCATACCGCTTTGTTATTACATTTCCACAAACATGCACTTGTTCGTATGGTCACCCACAGATTTATCACACTCCATGCAAACATGCAATAATTGCATTGGGTTCACGACGATGGGATCACAATGCTTTTATATCGACCTACTACACCTTAGTATGCTACAAAGAAAGTTATTCAAGATATTTTCATGTTATCCCAGACATGACACTATGGCCACGTCAGATTTTTCGACGAATAGAAATACGTCAGAAAATGCGGCGGCCTAACCGGCATAATATATGTCGGTAACTTAACGACAAAATTATATGAATGGCAGGGTCGACAATACATTGATTAGTCATTGAGGATAGATTGATGGGATCCAGACAATCTTGTTTTTAGAATGATATGAGCACTTGGGTTGTAGGAGAAGCCAATACGAAAGAATAAGAAGAAAAAAACTCAATAGAGATAAGTGGCTCTGATATCATATAAGATATCATAATTCAGGAGGAAATGTTCATTTTACACTAAAGATTTTGTACAATATTTATAGATACAAAAATTATATAATAAAGGAAGGTGCATTGACACCTAAATTGAATGACAATATAATGTGATAACTATTAAAAGGAATATCATAAAACACATTACAATTAATTTATGATATTCTTCTAATAACTTCAACTATATATGAGCATTTGATCGGTTGGATATTTTTATTTATGAATTAACAAAACAAAATTTCTATTATAAAATATTTAAAAAATGAGCCCAAACTATTTTTCAAATGAACTAATTGAATCAAATTATAGTTTTATTAGTTCCATTTGTTTTTGATTGATCAT